GACATGCAGGACGTTGGCTTCTACGTCGGCGAGTACGCAGCCAAGAAGTTTGAGATTTCCAGGAGCTTGCTGCCGGAGCTGTTTGCTGGCGTTCAGCGCTTAGAGGAGGAAGAGCGCGAGAGGCGCAGGGAACATGCCTCAACACTGCTTGCTGAAGACTCTGCAGATGTTCCCGAAGAGCGCGGCCGCGCATCTACTGTGCAAGAACAAAGGCAGCGCTGCTTGTCGATACTTCGTCGCCTGGCTTTCGGCATGAACAGATGCATTTGCAAGTCCAATGGAGAAATGGCGTACCAGCTTCTCTACCAACAGGAGCAGTACGTTAGCTTTGCTGGATACAACATGTTTTTCCGATTCGTGCCGTATGCCATCATGCGCTGCCGCGAGGTTGCTTTAAAGGCGGCATCGCTGCGAGCTCCGCACATGCAGGTGGATCCACTGGACGCACCTGAGGAGCCGGACTCTGGACCAATGCCCGTGCGGGAGCTGGCTGAACTGAGTGAGTCGGACGAAGAAGGGGGACAGTCTAAGGCATCTGCAAGGCTTCGAGTCGTGCAGTTCAACCAGAAAGACGACTACCTACATCGCGGCCGGAACCCTTTACTGCGATGCATGTCCATGGTGATGTATTCTCGCTTTGTGCGTCGCGTTGATCGATCCAAAGCTGGCAAGCCGGATGGCGTTCGATTTTTCGAGTTTGAGAAGCATTATCCTCACTTCGAGAGTTCCTTGCAGGACCCACGGAGGGTTTTTTCTCTTACAGTTCTTAGTTCTTGCTTTTGTCTATTTTACAGTTCTTCCTTCTTGCTTTTGCTTCGTTGTCGTTTGCATGCGCGGCCAGGAGGTCAGAAGCGCGGACAACACCGTAGTGGTGCCTCTGGATCTTCGCTTGCCGCAGGAGTCCGAATCAGAGAAGTACGCAGCTTACATGCTGGGCCTGTCATTTCCTTTCCCTTTATGTTCGCAAGAGTGCGCAAGCTCGGAGTCGTGCTTCTCGTGCCACAGCTTGCGCATCGATGAAGACGGGGGTAAGATTTCGGCACGATTTTCCCTGTCCTGGCGGCACTGGAGGGCTTGCATGCAGACGCGCACCGCTTCAGCGCAAGAGCGGATCTTGGGGGGCTTGAGCTCGCCCGTCATCCGAGACGTGGTTGGAGTTCGATCTTGGTATCCACTTCAAGACGGCGATGAGATTGATCCGGAGCAGCAATCACAGAGCTTGGTGCTGCGGTGGGCTCTGCATCACATGCTCCGACCCCGATCCTGCATCTATGTCGATGTGCCTCGCACACACGAGCTGGTGGCTGCCTTTCTTGGCCTTTTTCCCGGAAGCATTGCGAAGGGTTCTTCTTCTAAAAGCGGCTGCCAACTTCACCTGCCAACTTCTCATGCCAACTTGTCGAGAGTTACTTCACCTGCCAACTTCTCATGCCAACTTGTCGAGAGTTACTTCCCCTGCCAACTTCTCATGCCAACTTGTCGAGAGTTACTTCACCTGCCTACTTCTCATGTCAACTTTTTGAGAGTTACTTCACCTGCCAACTTCTCATGTCAACTTTTCGGCTGTTATCTCATTCTACTAAAAGCACAAGCTAATTTGTCGGGTGTTACTTCACTATCCTAAAAACACAAGCTAACTTTTCTGTTCTACCTTCACATCTCGACTCTTAATTCTTCTTCTTTTTATGGCGGGGGTAGGCCCGACGGGAGCTTACGAAACGCAAATTTGTCTTGAGAACCCTCTGCGGAGATCGTGCGTGTCGAAGCGCTCTCGCTGTGGCGCCGTGCGAATTTGTCTTGACCTTGGCGAACCCTCTGCGGAGATCGTGCGTGTCGAAGCGCTCTCGCTGTGGCGCCGTGCGAATTTGTCTTGAGCCCGGCGAACCCTCTGCGGGGATCGTGCGTGTCGAAGCGCTCTCGCTGTGGCGCCGTGCGAATTGTCTTGAGCCCGGCGAACCCTCTGCGGAGATCGTGCGTGTCGAAGCGCTCTCGCTGTGGCGCCGTGCGAATTTGTCTTGACCTTGGCGAACCCTCTGCGGAGATCGTGCGTGTCGAAGCGCTCTCGCTGTGGCGCCGTGCGAATTTGTCTTGACCTTGGCGAACCCTCTGCGGAGATCCTGCGTGTCGAAGCGCTCTCGCTGTGGCGCCGTGCGAATTTGTCTTGAGCCCGATGAACCCTCTGCGGGGATCGTGCGTGTCGGATCGCTCTCGCTGTGGCGCCGTGCGCATCTGTCTTGAGCCCGATGAACCCTCTGCGGAGATCGTGCGTGTCGAAGCGCTCTCGCTGTGGCGCCGTGCGATTTTCTTGCTCGCGAAACGGCTTTTGGAAGTTGTCTCGCGGTGTGCGCGCCTGCTTTCGCAATCCCGCGGTCCCGGGTTCGATTCCCCCCTGGTCCGCGGCAGCTCCGGCTTGAAAATCGCAGCTTTTAAGTACAAACGTAGTACGCGGAGCGTGCTCCTGCAGCTCCGGCTGGAAAATCGCAACTTTTAAGTACAGACGTAGTACGCGGAGGCTGCTGCAGCTCCGGCTGGAAAATCGCACTTTTTAAGTACAGACGTAGTACGCGGAGCGTGCTCCCGCAGCTCCGGCTGGAAAATCGCAACTTTTAGATACAAATGGCTGGAAAATCGCAACTGTAAATTGCAAATGTAGCACGCGGAGCGCCTCCGCCGCTCCAGCTTTTTGAGGGTTAATTACTTCACCTGCCAGTTTCTCATGCCGAAACTTCGAGAATTACTTCACCTGCCAGCTTCTCATGCCACCTTTTCGAGAGTTACTTCACCTGCCAACTTCTCGTGCCAACTTTTCGAGGAGTTACTTCACCTGCGAGCTTATCATGCCAACTTTTCGAGAGTTACTACACCTGCGAGCTTCTCATGCCAACTTTTCGAGAATTACTTTACCTGCCAACTTCTCATGCCAACTTTTCGAGAAATACTTTACCTGCCAACCTCTCGTGGCAACTTCACCTGCCAACTTTTCGAGAATTACTTCACCTGCCAACTTCTCATGCCAACTTTTCGAGAAATACTTTATCTGCCAACCTCTCGTGGCAACTTTTCGAAAAATTACTTCACCTGCCAGCTTGTCATGCCAACTTTTCGAGACGCCAACTTTTCGAGAGTTACTTCACGCGCCATCTTCTCGTGCCAACTTTTCGAGAATTACTTCACCTGCCAGCTTCTCACGCCAACTTTTCGAGAGTTACTTCACCTGCCAACTTCTCACGCCAACTCTTTGAGAGTTGTTTCACCTGCCAACTTCTCATGCCAACTTTTCTCTTGAGTTACTTCGCCTGCCAACTTCTCATGTCAACTTTGCGAGAATTACTTCACCCGCCAACTTTGCCAGCCAACTATTCGAGAGTTACTTAACCTGCCAGCTTCTCATGCCAACTTTTTGAGAATTGCTTCGCCTGCCAACTCCTCATGCTAACTTTGCGAGAGTTACCTCACCTGCATCAACTTGCCTCTATGCTTCCGGGCCACTCGTCGTCTAGTTCTTCTTTCCAAATCTCTTCCCCAATTCTAAGTTTCTTTGGGAAAGGGGGGAGGTCAAGAGAAGGGAAGTGAGTGAAGGCTAGACGGGCTGGAATGTCTTTATTGTTATCCCAGCTCTTGGTCTTACCGTTCACTCTCTCTCTTTCCCAATCATCTTGGCCTGTCATTCCCATTCTCTTTTTGTAACCTTGGGAGTGGCATGAGAGGTAAGGATGGAGAAAGGCAATGCAAGAGATGGAAAGCATTTCTGTTTTGTACCTCTTAGAATCTGGAAATGCTGTTATGATAGTAAGCATCTCTTTCCCTTTCTCTACCTTGCTTGTCCTGTCTCTTCGCTCACTTCTTCACTCATCATCACCTGCAAGCGAGAGAAAGGAGGTTGGGAAGGGTGAGGGAAGAGAGTGGGTGGGGCAGTGCGCTACGGGATTGTCATTGGCGCTGAGGTCGCACATGGGAAAGGTGGTGATGTGGAAGATGCCCCGCGGTTGCTCAGGAGTGTAAACTGCATGACTGGGTCTGCAAGTGAGCCCCTCCACCACCTCTTTGAGGTCATCATAGGTCATGTTCTCGGCTTCCAAGGCCATGTCTGTGTGCGGATGTTCGCGGGTGACAGGAATGGCAGGCAAAGGTAAAGCTTGCTGCAAGACAAACAGATGAGGATGCTAGGGTGCAAATGACAGATGCAGATGCCAGATGCAGTGCCAGATGCAGATGCAAGGGTTCAAATAACGATGGAAAAGACAAGGCGACCGCAAGAAAAGGGGGCAAACAACCAGATCAAAAGCTGAATGGCCTTATCGTACTACGTGCCATGAACTTGGAAAGCATCAGCAATTGCAGAAGCCAAGGTTCCCATCGCTGCGCTTCTTATGCTTCTGACCCCCAACAAAAACCTCTTGTGACATATCAAAAAAGTGTTTTTTCACGGAAAACGCAGGGCTGGGGACATTGGCCTCTCTTCACGAAACCCTCAGGCAAGACTCAACCGGCGCAAGCACATAAGAACAAGCAGCCACATAGCCAAAGAATTGTCAAAAAGCAATCCCGACCAGTTGCAAGCCGACATGGTATGAATTGCTTCACGCACGTACTTTACCAGCATGCAGCATGCTTGTATGACCTGCAGACGCTCCGCTGACAGATTGACCTGGTAATTAACGGGCAGTGACAGAACGTGACCATCATGCTGCGAGTTTGGCTGCGTAGCGCTGGCTTCAGCGTCACATCTTGTGTTGGCAGGCAATCCAGGTATATTGCAGCTGGTCGGCTCTCGTTGCATTTTCCAGATGTGTTTGAGACGGGGATCATCAAACTGGTCCACGGCAAAAACTCCTATGGACGAATCGATCAACACCAAATGGTCATGGGACTGTGCTTCCTTCAAGAATATCTTCTCAATCTATGTACTTACGCTCGGACTCATTTCTTGCGAAGGCCCTTTACCTGCCATGGCGACATTTGACCTCGACAAAAGCGTTGAACGCATATTGCCAAGCTGCCGCATCCATTGGGGCCGGTGATGGCATAAATGCGTCCAAGCTGAAGATCCAAGTCTGGCAACTGGACCTTCAAGTCTCCGCGCTCGTAGGTGAAGTCTCGAAACAAAAGCGCACCTCACGCCAAGGCAGGCGCAGTGGCGGGGGGATAAGCAGGGGATTAGCTTCCGACCTCTAAGACAGTTTGAGTTGCTTACAGCCCGGCTCACGCCTGCCTCCACCCTGGATCATGCAGTGCGATTGTTCCTGGAGCCTGCCGGCTGGACACGGGAACGCCAGGCCAGGTGCACGACTTTGCAATGCTTGCAGCTTCAAAGATCACTGTGAGACACTCACATTACAACTTCAAATGGACACGCAAACTATCCCACAAGCGACCCCAAACAGCGTGAACGGACAGCATGGACCACGCATCCGGACTGCTGTCAGCACATGCCAAAAAAAAAGCCAAAACGAGGCAGGACCCAAATCAATGTAAAACACAGAACCAAAGAAGGATACATGTAAAAAAACATATGCATACATATTGTGCAATCCTACTTTATACTTATACAATCAAAAACAGCCAAACTCCAGAGCGGGCTCCTAAATCACGCCGCGCCACAGCGAGAGTGATTGAACTCAGCCCAAGTCTGCCAGCGGTTAACTTTCGTATTCAAATCTTACACTACGCCACAACGAGAGCGCACTTTCAACCCACACCCGTCCGCGGCACGCGACTGCACAGACAAAAAAGCATTTGAGCAAACAGCTCACGCGAAACGGTCGCAGCCACGAGGCGAGCCTTGGATCCAACCTGTGTTCCCAAAAGCCATTTGCACAAACACAGTGGGAGGAAAATGGAGAATGCCCCCCGTCATCCCAGGTCCTCCTGAATCAACCTTGGGACCTCGACCTAACGCTGTCTTCAAAACTGTCCGCTCGCGCCTTGCCCGGTGGGCGCGCAAACCAGCGTCTAGCTCCAGCAGGCGCTCTTGGAAGGTGTGCATCTGTGCCAGGCGCGACTCCTCAAGCTGCGGAGGCATGCGGAGGCAACGACAAGGAACATGGACATGGCAACCAACGTACACAACGAGCAGCAAGCGAACCGAGCTTGCAAAACACAAAGTGCGAATGTGAAAATTAAGCCAGTCCTCTCGATAGCGAGTCAGCAGGGTTCCGATGGTGTCTTCAATAACCATTGAGTAGACACCTATGTCTGCAGCGGTTATCCTGTCAGCTTCCATGATACGAGCAAGTGCACACTCGACACCGACTCCATACAAGTCTTGATAGTAAAGCCAGTTGATGAACATCCGTGTTGACAGCAGGATCTTTCGCCAAGCTGTTGCCGCCAATATGTCGGTGGCCAAATCCCCCCAGCGGCCAGCGACAATTGCAGCAGCGCCAGTTCGGCTGATTGCTTCGGCGTTTCTGGAATCATGCTGCTCGACCTTCTTGCGCTTGTCGGCCAGCGCGCGGAGATGCTTCGTCGCCTTCTCGGTCAACGAAGTGATGGCTGAGATGACATGCGTCCTCCCAAAGTCCAGCCCAACACTGATGGGTAAAAGGGTGGCAGTCAGAATCGGCTGGCTAGCCATCATCCCCGACATCAGCACTAGGTTTGGCAAGTCGTAAAGCTTTCCTGCTGTAAGCTGGTAGCAATCATTGATGATTGAGTTGAATGCTTCAGCGAAGCCATCCACCGTATGATTCGAATCACGCGCCACCTCTAGCCGATTGTAGGCGTTGCCCGGGTGAAGGAAAGCATCCACGCGAAGCGATTCCTCTGCCTTCCAGCGGAAGGACTCGAAGAACATGTCGTTTGCAGTTTCCAAGACACTCCGCTGGAGCATGTAGGGAAGTGCCACACTGACCATGTAGACTGCTGTCCGCTCAACCAGAAACTGCCGTGCAGTCATCTTGCCCCCTGCCACGTCCAGCAATGCGTTGGTCCGTGCTTGAACTTGCCGCATGTACCAAACATTGACATAGCCCAAAGAAATCTGAATATAGCCGCTGACTACCAACAGCTCCATGGCTGCCTGGTCAAAGCCTGCACCGATAACACCCCTGAGGACTTGCAGGGCGGAAGTGACCTCCTGCACCGGAATGACCCAATTCACGGCGTCCACTGCTAGGGCCGCGGCTGGATGCCACCAGGACGTGCAGCACAGCCACAGGGCCAAAGCCTCAACGAGCAACACCCAGCTGCCGGTGAGCCTGTCAAAGGTCACAGCCGCCGTGAGCACAAAGGAGTTCACGTGCACCAAAAAGAGTAACTTGTAAGCGTCCAAGCTGGTGCTCCCAGTCTCACGTGCCATATTCAGGCTCCAGCCAGCAATGACGCCCACAAAGAACGTACCCAGCGCTTTCAGCAAGGCTGGCTCAGGGCGACCTATGATACTGCCAGGGTATGGTAAAGCCCAGCGGGCATATGCTGCCGACAGAACAAATATATTCTTGGCCTGAAAAAGGTCTGAGACAATAAAGTCGCCGGCATTGTCCAATGATGCTTCAAGAACCGCCCAGAATTCCACAAAATAAGCTGCCAGCACAGCAGCTGACAGCACCACAAGTGACCCATAGAACAGCGACTGCTGCATGGAAATCATTGCACGGCCTGGCGCTGCATCCTACAAGTCGAACAACAACTTCCGTCTTGAGCCTGAGATCGATGCTTTCAGCGCAGTCCAAGCAGTGGAGACAGCTATGCTCGGCTATGCTTTGCAGGTCAAGTCGTTACATACGGCATGCGGAACCTCCTTGCTCCTGCCGCCAAGCTTGTGTCACATGCCAACATGGGTAGCGGCCTGCGAGTCCAACTGGTGTGCGCCACTTCCGGCAGGCAGCCGCCTGGGCAACGCCGATGCAGACTGGAATCCAATTCACTGCGCAATAAGACTGCAGCCTCAGGCGTGGTATGACAAGCTGCATGGCACCGTCTGCCAATCCACTACTCACTGGCCAACTGGATGAGCTACGCGCAGCCACCGAAGCCTCCGGAAGGGCTGTTGCGCTGTGCCACAATAACAAGACAGCTGCTGATCATGCCAATCAGTCCCTAGCGCAGTACATGCCTGAAGCCTCTCGCATGTGGGGCCAGAACTCAAATGTTGGGGGTGTACGGACAAGTCTTCCAAATGGTGCCTTGGATGCGAGGGTGAAAAGATGCATAAGAATGAAGGCTCCAAGGCAGCCTTGCGAGCATGCTTGCCGGTTCGAGCATGGAACTGAACAACATGCGCCGCTGTGATGCCTGCTGCAAGCTGCAATTTGGAGGACGGGGTTGTGGAGGCTGAGATTATCCGCGCCCTTCTCGCAAGGGGAGCTGCCTGGGCAGGGTGACACATGAAGAACAGGTCGACACCAGCGTGTGAACGAAAATAGCTGGCTGCGGTGCTGGGGGTGTCAACCATTTCAGCTCTTTCAATACAGGATTCGATTGTGATCTTAGACCCTACTGCGCAGGCTCTCCCCACACCCTTCTGGGACCAATCGATTGCACCTTGGGACAGGTGGCAATGCTTCTACATGTAGCCACGGGGATGCTGGGGGTGTCTGCAATTTGGCCTTATCTCAGGGCTGCCGCCCAGTGCCACTTCGAGCCGTATTGGACCAGAACAAATGACTATACCAGACAAGCCCGCATTCTGGCCCCAGGTTGATCCAAATTGCAGCCCAACATCCCCCTCCCGTAGTGCCAAGCACCGCCCAACTGCCACGGACCAATCCATGTCAACCATACCGCCCAAGTTTGTTCGCGAGATTCGCACCTTTGTGGCGAGGTTGCGGTGCCGCCATGGGCTTAAGAGCTCAGACCGGGTGAGTTGCTCTGCCACGGCGCGTGTGACATGCAGTGACTACACCCTCAATCTTGCGTGTGCCAAAGCTTAGCCCTGACAATCACAAGCGCCCACATTGCGCACTCACACACCCCATGCCGCCTATGCCTCCAAATACCGCCCACTTTGGAGCTGCCTGGGCTTGCCGTCTTGCAGAAGGCCTGGGTAGGACCTCTCATACCTCATGGCGGTAAAAAGGGAGAACTTGCCCTCTGCCCGGAAGTCCCCCTGACGCACCGCAGCGACGTAGTGCTCACAATCTGCCTGCACAGGATTTATGTAGCGCCAGACTTCTTCGCCTTCAGGAGTGATCTCGAAAAGGATCCCCTGCGGGCCCATGATTACCAAGGTGTTCCCATTTACCAACCTCCTCGCGCCTGAAATGTGAGTGCAGTAGAAGCTACCATACTTGCCGCATGGCTCTCCGTAGCTCCAAACAGGCGCTTGTGGGCCTGTGTAGGGGCTAAAGTTTCCGTGGCTGTCTGCTAACTCGTATTCCTCCACTGTAGAAAAAAGCCTATCCGGCGCACGCCCATTATTAAAGATCAGCACGTTGCCCTCACCAGGTGCTCCGCGAATAAAGACTGCATGATGCGAGCAAAACAAGAACTGGTCTGCAAGGGTCCCCTGCCGGCACATGGCAGGGTTGCCAAAGCGATACAATATGTCTCCGCCTTTCCCACGCTGACCACCTTCATGGGAACTGGCCTCCTGCGTCGTGGTGCTGTGGTCTATGATGACGACCTCACCAGCATTGTGCAGACCCAGCGCAATTTGGTCTCGCACTGGATCGTGGGAGATGGAGTTGATGTGGAGCCAGTCCTTCTCTCCAGTCTTGCCTGGCTGCTTCCAGAAAGCCAAGCCCAGACAGTTCTTGTCCATGCCCTCTTGCGCAAGGGTCTTGTTCCGCTGCGCGCCCTTACCCGCCACAGGGCAAATGTTGATATCAAACAGCTCTGGATGTGCGGAGACGTCCCCAAAATGTGGGAGGCTAGGGCAAAAGTCCTGGATCAAGTGATCCCACATGGACCACTGCCACACCCTGGTGGCACTTGAGCCCTCAGGTTTGAGCTCGATGATCAAGTCGTTCCAAATGCCTTCGTCTGCAATCAAATCCGGGCGTCGTCCCGCATCTAGGGCCTGCTGCTTGGTCTTGCGCTCCCAGACCATGACCAGCACGTGGCCGTTGGCCAGCGGCTCCAGGTCGTGATGCGCCAAGGTCTGCTGGTAGGGGTAGAAGTCGAAGACCCAAACCTGGCGGTTGTCCCAGTCCACTTCCTCTACCACGCCACCAGCACCACCAACCTGGAACCCTGGACTATGCAAGGCAACCGTGCCATCACGAAGCAGGTTGCCGGAGGGCAGAAGGTACGAGGTGAAGACATTTCTGCAACTGCGCCATTGGTGCACGAGCTGTCCATCCTCGTCGATCAAGTACGTCTCTCGGCTAGCGTTGAACAAAGTATAACCGGCAGCCATCTTTGCATCCTTCCTAGTCACAACCCCCACCGTCCTCTTTGACAGCGGCAGCTGAAACATATTATATCGTGCTGCCTACTTGTAAATCCCCGCTATGTTTGTCTTGTGCCAGACATGCCTTCAGGTGTTTGCACTTGCCCCGAAAGTGCAAGGTCGAATGCACGGAGCGTTTGCAGCTACCACTTCCTATTCTACTTCCCCGACCTTTTCTTGATGGTTGCACTGAGCCAATGCCCTGAGACAACCAACAAATCATGCAGCGGAGTCCAGCTCCAACATCACATTGAATCTTGGAGTCGTCACTCGCGTTCATGCCGTGACATTCCCACACGATCCCAGTGATCCCAACAGTACCCTGTCAACTTCTCAAACATGGACACGCAGCGAGTCAAGCAACACTGCTCAAAACTATTATTTGTCCCTGCAGCCCGTACAGCATTCGCAACCTGGCCAACATGGTCTCAGGCGGGTACCTCGCTCAATCTGCATCGCGTAGACTACGCGCGACACTTCTAGAGGGCCTCCTCACAGCTGCGTGTTACAGCCAGAATGCCTAACCTTTGCTGCATCTACATCTATCGCCCCACTCTGATTTGGTTTCATAAGATCACCTCAAAAAAATATGTGTTCATGTGTGTGTTTGCTATACTATTTCTCAATCTTCGTTGTTCAAAACTTTTTGAAATTAAGGAAAACAATGTGTTGTTCAAAGCTGCTTAAAGCTGGGCATCTGCTTTGTTAAGCAAAAAACCTGCTGGAGCCAAAACAAGGCGACCGGCCATGAAGAATCAGCTGGGATGCGCAGCACAAAAAGGAACACAGTAACAGGTAAGGCTGCCATGTTTACACGGATACGTAGCGCTCGAAGTGCATGGCTCGAAACTCTCAAGTCTCGCTTGGCCGCGCTGGAGGTTTCCTCGGGCGGTGCTGGTCACCTTCTCGCCGGCCTCAGCTGCTAGGCATGCAGAACGGGGAGCCCAAAAAGGGCACAATTTGTGGATCAACAGTCTCAGCTGCGCGCGTGCAACTCGGCAATTTGTGAGTCCGTGCCTCTGCCTCCAACCTCACCGAGCCTTGGCATCCCCGCAACCTCTCCCTTCCCAGTGGTTGGCTCAACGGAAGCACTCTCGGAATGGACCTAAGCACAACCACAACGCTGCAAGCCCCTTGTGCTTTCCAGCTAAATTTCAACCACCAACTATTGAGAGTCCTGGCGTGCGAACAATCGCGAGCATAGTGCAATTGTGGGGCCTCGCCAGCAAAGGATACAATACATCACACCAAATATGGTAAATGGTCAATGGAAACAGGAACTTGTGAGCCGGCTGCACAGCGCCCACAGCGTTGAAAGGTTCGTGCACGTGGCGCCCACCAATCTCTTGCACACCCTTGCCGCCAATTCTTTCCCAGTTGCCTTTGCCTCTGTTGGCACCCTTCCCTGCCTTATCCGTTTGCCCTTCCCTTGTCAGATCCTTTGCAAAAAGCGCCTTCGCCGTTTCCAGCGCGTTGGCTCAGCTCACACGGGCTGTAACACGCTTGGAGAACGTGTTGGTTGCTCTTGCGGCCATGGCGGCGCATCACCCTTGCTTCCCCGCGAGGCCCCACCCTTCTGACGTTTCAAACTATCGACGGAGGGCTCCCCGATTTGATCGCCAACTAGAGAGGCATATGCAAGTTTGCACTTTTCCTCCATGTTCATGAAAACTGTCACGCTTACGTGTGAGAAAAGGCGTGAGCGGCAGTCCACGAGACTTCACCAAGATGATGTCGATCTTGCTGCCCAGCATGCAAACCAGGCGATGAAAGGGACTGCGCAAACTGTCTTTCGCCCTCTGTCGGGAAGAGGGAAAAAGTATTTTTGCCGGGGCATCTCCTGGCTCGCGCCCTACAGCAGCAGCCTGGGCCCCTCAAAGGAACAGCCGCTGGACGCGTTTGGCACTCCGTTCACGGAGATTCAAGGCCCGAAGCTGACATCCTCCAATCGGAAGACGTGCAAAACTTGCTGTAAGAGCTGGGTGTGTGAAGTTTGGAAGAAGTAAAATCTGGGCGCGCCGAAGCCAAGTACCCAGTCGGATGTCGCGAGTAAGGGCCTGCCGCCGAAGCGCAAGTAACGAAGATGCAGTTTCCGCCTCTTGCTTTATGGGATGAACATCATGCGCAAGCCTGTCCCAGAAGCGCACGGTCAGCTCAGGAAGCATTCTGACCAGCCGAAGAACGCGGGGCCATTTTGAACGCGGCCTGCTCGTTGACGGTCAGGCCCTGAAAGTCTCCCCGCGCACCATTAGCCTTCATGTTGCTTGTCTTGATGGCGCAAGCCGATCAAACTCCTGCTTGTCATCTCAACGGGTCGATGATAATTGCCCGTGGGCAGGCGCTTCGTCGAGCAGAAAGACTTCTTGCTTTCAGCCCATTCTTCGCGACTTGTTCTTGTCTTGCGGCTTGTTCTTCGACATCTCCTCTGAGACCAAAAAGGGTCCATGGAGTCCATAGAGCGCCCCGGACGATGTCCAACCAACTCAACGCCAAATACAAGGTTCAATCTATCGGCTCTCTTTAGAACCATGAATATGACCTGCCTTATCCTCCGCTGCCATGTAGCCGGTTTCCTGTCTACACGGCTTATCGAGATCTTCATTCACCTCCGCCAGCCATACGCCGACCAGGCTTCACAATCTGGGTCCCCGCAGCCTGGCAAGCCCGACACACTGATACTTGGCTTTCTTGCTTGTTAGCTTCGGACAAACGATCACGCCATCTGGCGAAAAAGGGTGAAGCAGCGCTGCTGCTTCAGAAGGTCTCGGCGGCCTGCTCCTCGAGCGCTATCCTGGGTAGTGGAGAGATTGAGACACGAAACTTAGGGCATTCACTTTTCTATCCTTCGACAGCTCATCATATCTCAGCTTGATTGTGGTTTCACGTCTAGCTTTGTCTCTTTCACGCGCTCCGTGCGAGTACCATGCGCTGGCGACAGCCTGTACACGGTAGGCGCTTGAGCCCATTGGCTCCATGTGTGCAAACATGTTAAGACATGATATATGTCGCTTGACTATTCACACAAATTGGCCCTGAGTTTTGAGCGGTTTTCTATCAGAGGTTGCTGCTAGCGACTGCAAACGCGGATATCCCGCGCCCTCGCCTTGGCTTTGTAGGTGTAGAGCATGCGGTCGTCCTTGAAAGCACCGAGTTCATGGCGATAGGTCTATCAGATCTGCCCCCGCACACGCCCTCCTCTTCCTCCGACACGCCGTATCCGTAACACACCAGGGACTCCCCCTCAACCTGCAGCTTTCCGGAACCGCTGAGACACACTATCCGCAAACGGCTACCTCGAAGACCTCATTCGCACAATCGAAGAACACTGCGTCCTGGCAAACAAGGCAGCCAAAAATATGCTTGAGGCATTTTCACGACCCCTTGCTCAGCAGTTACACTGAGTCTAGCGGACGTATGCCTCTGGCGCGTTAGAAGCTCCGCCGTGAGCAGTGAACTGGGAATGCTATGAGAACATCGCAGGGGGACTTTGCGCCCCTTTGCAAAAGTTGGATTCCGGTGCACTGCTGCACCTTGTGCGCAGAAATGCCGGAGGTCGCTGGGCAAGCTCCAGGAGATCTGGAGATCATGCAGACCGAGAATAGTTCAGCTGCTTCACAATGGGCATCAGCTCCGGCCTGGGATTGCAACAAGTGTAATCTGCCAGCCCTGTTCCAGGAAACAGCTGAGGAGTCGGCGCTTCTTTGCTGAAGGCTTGCATCTGCGGCGCAGCTGCTACCGAGTGCGCTCAAACAACTGCCCCCCAGATTCGTTGGTGATTTGCTGGGTGGCCAACAAATTTGCAATCTTGACAAGCTGCGCCCTACAGGTTTGGCAAACCCTCGAGGGCAGCTCATCTATCAAATCTGCCTAAGGCCAACCATAGCTCCGGCCTCGTAATGCTTGTTTCCGGCTCTATTTGAATTTGCACAAGCAGCAAAAACCTTGGCCCACGCGTGAGTTGAAGCTGGCCATGGGAACATGATTGGGAGACTGGGATGTCTAAGCCTTGAGCTTCACAAAGCGATCCTCCCAGCGAATGCCCAGTGCACATGACCTTGACACAAGTAGCCGGCACACCCAGCACTCTGTTCCCAATTGCGGCTGGGCCTTGTTGCACTTGGCCAAGGCCGGTCGCAGCTTCGGCATGCTGTACTTCATGAGCCAGTAGAGCTTGTCAGCATAGCCCGACTGCACTCCATCAAAGCCGCAATAGCCGTATGGAGCATTCTTCAAGTTTGCAAAAAACTCTGCAAAGGTGTGCGTCCCCTGGAAGGCCAGAGCACAGTCCAAGCTGCCTTCATGCTGCAGGAGCCAAATGTTGTCGACAGCCTCCCAGATGAACGCAAACACACACAGACACACACACACATGCACAAGCTCACAACAACGTGTCCACAAGAAAGGCAGACACACACACACACACTCACACGCACAGCACAAGCGCACGCACACGCACACTCGCACGCGCACACGCACGCGCACCCACCCCGCACACACACACACACACACCCCGCACACACACACACCCACCCCGCACACACATCCACCCCGCACACACACACCCACACACACACACACTTGAACTCCCGAAGGAGGGTACTCATCAAAGTACTGCATGGGTCTTCGAGTAGTAATGTCGGCTCGCAGGTCACTTGCAGTAAAATGGATGAAGCTCCAAGCTGCGCACGACGGCGCCCATGGCAGCTTCCAAAGGAGTTTCGGCGGGGTTGGCCTTGACTAGGAGGGATCCTCATCAGGACCCGCCTCCCCCCCTAGTCAAGCGTCACCCCCGGAGCGGGCCGACTCCGAAACAAGGTCAACCCCTGTGGAAGAAATGTGGTAGCAGGGTGTTCTGCTACTCCGCACACACACGCCCCTCTAGGAGGGGCGAGTGTTGCTTTTCAGCCGGAAACTGTACACGAAGCAGTCAACTGTACACGAAGCAGGCAGCTGTACACGAAGCAGTCAACTGTACACGAAACTGTCATCTGCGCACGAAGAAATCAACTGTACACGAATCAGGCAACTGTACACGAAGCAGTTAACTGTACATGAAGCAGTCAACTGTGCATGAAGCAGTCATGTTCAACTAGGTCAACTGTACACGAAGCAGTCAACTGTACACGAAGCAGTCAACTGTACACGAGGCGGTCAGCTGTACACGAAACTGTCAACTGTACACGAGGGCAACATTCCCCAAGAACACACACACACCCAAAGGCAAAACAGCAGGGCGGCGCGGCGGAGGGCAACAAACCCCAAGAACAAAGCGCAACACACACACAAACAAAGACAAAGAGCAAAGCGGCGCGGCGGAGGGCAACAAGCCCCACGAACAAGGCGCAACACACACACACCCACAGACAAACAGCAGGGCGGCGCGGCGGAGGGCAACAAGCCCACAAGAACAAAGCGCAACACACACACCCAAAGAAAAAGAACAAAGCGGCGCGGCGGAGGGCGACCATCCCCAAGAACAAGGCACAACTCACACACACACACACCCTGTACACGAAGCGGTCAACTGTACACGAAGCAGTCAACTGTACACGAAGTAGTCAACTGTACACGAAGCAGGCAACTGTACACGAAACTGTCAGCTGTACACGAAGCAATCAACTGTACACGAATCAGGCAACTGTACACGAAGCAGTTAACTGAACAAGAAGCAGTCACCTGTACACGAGGCAGTCAACTGTACACGGAGTAGTCAACTGTACACGAAGCGGTCAACTGTACACGAAGCAGTCAACTGTACACGAAGCAGGCAGCTGTACATGAAGCAGTCAACTGTGCACGAAGCAATCAAGTGTACACGAAGCAGTCAACTGTACACAGAGCAGTCAACTGTACATGAAGCAGTCAACTGTACACAAAATGGCCAACTGTACACGAAGCAATCAACTGTACCCGAAGCAGTCAACTGTACAAACTGTACACGACGCAGTCAACTGTACTTGAAGCAGTCAACTGTACACGAGGCAGTCAACTGTACATGAAGCAGCCAACTGTACACGAAGCAGTCAACTATACACGGAGCATTCAACTGTACACGAAGCGGTCGACTGGGTCAACTGTACACGAAGCAGTCAACAGTACACAGAGCAGTCAACTGTACACGAAGTAAGCAACTGTACACGAAACTGTCAACTGTACACGAAGCAATTCACTGTTCATGAAGCAGTCACCTTTGCACGAAGCAACTGTACACGAGGCAGTCAGCTGTACATGAAGCAGGCAACTGTACACGAAGCGGTCACCTGTACACGAAACAGTCAGCTGTACACGAAAGTGTCAACTGTACACGGCAACTGTGCACGAGGCAGTCAACTGTACACGAACGAGGCAGTCCACTGTACACAAAGCAGTCAACTGTACACGAGGCAGTCAACTGTACACGAGGCAGTCAACTGTACACAAAGCAGTCAACTGTACACGAAGCAACTGTACACGACGCAATCAACTGTACATGAAGCAGTCACCTGTACACGAGGCAGTCAACTGTACACGAAACTCTCATCTGTGCACGAAGAAATCAACTGTACACGAATCAGGCAACTGTACACGAAGCAGTTAACTGTACATGAAGCAGTCAACTGTGCATGAAGCAGTCATGTTCAACTAGGTCAACTGTACACGAAGCAGTCAACTGTACACGAAGCAGTCAACTGTACACGAGGCAGTCAACTGTACACAAAGCAGTCAACTGTACACGAAGCAACTGTACACGACGCAATCAACTGTACATGAAGCAGTCACCTGTACACGAGGCAGTCAACTGTACACGAAACTCTCATCTGTGCACGAAGAAATCAACTGTACACGAATCAGGCAACTGTACACGAAGCAGTTAACTGTACATGAAGCAGTCAACTGTGCATGAAGCAGTCATGTTCAACTAGGTCAACTGTACACGAAGCAGTCAACTGTACACGAAGCAGTCAACTGTACACGAGGCAGTCAACTGTACACAAAGCAGTCAACTGTACACGAAGCAACTGTACACGACGCAATCAACTGTACATGAAGCAGTCAACTGTACACGAGACGGTCAACTGTACACGAAGGCGCAACCCCAGTGGTGAGACGTAACTATGAAGTGGTGGCTGTCTTCCCTTTAGTGAAACCTTGTTCCTGGTTAAACGTGAAATTCCGCTGGTCTATGATCGGTCGTGAGGTCAATTTTTCCGGCGAACCGGCCCGGGGTCACACGATGGGTACACCCGAGGTTCCCCCAAGATGGGGTGATCACGCTTGAACTCCCGAAGGAGGGTACTCATCAAAGTACTGCATGGGTCTTCGAGTAAGAAATTTCTTGCATTGCACTAGAGGTGATGAAGCTCCAAGCTGCGCACGCAAGGAGTTTCGGCGGGGTTGGCCTTGACTAGGAGGGATCCTCATCAGGACCCGCCTCCCCCCCTAGTCAAGCGTCACCCCAGGAGCGGGCCGACTCCGAAACAAGGTCAACCCCTGTGGAAGAAAATGTGGTAGCAGGGTGTTCTGCTACTCCGCACACACACACACGCACACGCACACGCACACGCCCACGCCCACGGTCACGGTCACGCTCACGCTCACGCTCGCGCACACGCTCACGCTCACGCTCACGCTCACGCTCACGCTCACGCTCACGCTCACGCTCACGCTCACCCACACACACACACGCGCGCGCAAGCTCACAACCCTGTGTCCACAAACGCGCATGCCTCAAACAGAACCGAACCTCGGTATTCGAATACATTGTGAGAATTGCCAGAATTGCCGCTTCTTGCTTGGGAATGCATACCCCCCAACTCACCAACACTCTGGATGTGAGGATTGGGTCACCTATCTTTGATTGAGGCCTGAAGCTTATTGCACACTTCTGCAGTGGGCAATCTTGGAGCATGTCCAAGCCCGGGGCCTCCAGGGTGTCCTGCTGGGTATGCGCCACCAGCCGCCAGTTTTGGAGGTGCTTGGCACGGATCTTCTCCATGCTCACTTCCTCACCTGTTGCCCAACTGGTTTGCTTCTCGTAAGCCCCCCAGGACATAAAGGCCAACTCCAATCCCGTGCTGAAGGGAGCCTGCGTGGTGACGTCTTGACCGTGCAGCTGGACGTGCGCCAAGCGCTCAATGTAATTGTTCATGAAGTGGTGGCTGATCTCGCCACTCCGGCCTTGCTCGTGCTTAGGCAGGTCGGGCCTGCCGGCACCTGGATAAAACTCAGAGTCCTTCTCCCAATGCAGGGCAAGGGTAGGGACCTGCGCGTGGTAAAGGCTGGTCTTGAAGATCGCGGCGATGTCTGTAAGCCGGGATGCCGCCAGCACCGTCTCCGTGTAGCAGCGCAGGCCCCGGAAGCTTCGGCTCGCTTGCGACAAATCCTGGAGTGGCTTCTTGCTGGTCGCCACAGCGCCGTACGTGTACATAGCGTATCTCGGCTACGTATAATTTCAACACCGAGCATCCCGAAAGCAAGCATAGGCACAAAGAGAAGTAGAAGGATACCAGTAAACGGAAGACGCGTAAAAAGCAGTCAAGGCTTAAACAAAAAACAAGCCCAAACCTCTTCGGATGGTGTGCGAGTAGCCGCTGCGCAAGTAGATAGTGTGCAACCGGCAGCATGCAGTGCAAGCAACGCTGTGAAGGTAGTTGCTTTGCAACTAGTGCTTTGCTATAGTCGCTGTGCCAGCAAGTAATCGCTGTGCAAGTAGTGGATGCGCAAGTGACGCTGCGCCGGCAAAACAATATGCAAGCAATACCAAGCAATCCTATGCGAATATGCCTGCCGCTTGTAGAATAGAACCCTTGCGGGGCTATGCGGGGTTTTGCAGAAAAGGTGAAGGAAAGTCGCTCGCCAAGAAGGCCAGAAAAGGGCTGCACAGCCAAAATTGACGGTGGATCCCATAAAAGCATGCAGCTTGCATCTTGACCTTTGAACTTTGGCATCCTTTGGCCGTCGCTGCCCTCACAATCAAATAATAACTTGAAGGAGAACTAACCACAAAATGACAATCTTCTCCGTGCCCGTTTGGTGTCTGGGTATGTCTCGCAGCTGCTTGTGTCGCAAGACTTGCGCTTTCCCATCTTGGCTCCGAAACTTGCGCCCGTCCGAGTTGCACCGTGCCCGGAGTACCCCTGGTCAGGTTCAGATCCTAGCAGTGCAGAACTCCCACAAGCAAGAACACCCGCATGTGAGATCGCATGCCACGCGTGCACTGCGAAGGTCAGCAGTCACCCACCACTGGCTGCGGCCTCGCTGTCTCGCGCTGCCCTGAGCTGCAAGGCGTTGAGCCCGCATCCTGCACCGGCCATGTTCGACGGGAAGCGACGCGACCTTGATCTGGAAATGACCTCCTTTCCCCCCACCACCACTTGCGTGCAACCTTCCGCAAACAAAAACAGTCTTGAAAGTGTTAATTTTGAAGTGGGTGAGTTTTGGAGTGTGCCTTGATGAAAGCTTGTTTTTGAGGGCTGGTTGTCTTCATTGGTGGTTTCGCGCGGTGTGGTTCCCAATACCGTCCAGCCGCGAGATCGGTGCCCTGGCGGTGCCGGAGTCCCCGTGGTGTCCTGGTGGTGTCCCAGTGGTACTATGGTGGCGTCGCGGGCAGTATCCCGGCGGAATTTCGGTGTCCTGGTCTCCCAGATTTCGCTGGACAATATGCTGTTCGCACTGTTCCAGTCGCTGTTCCGGTTGGGCGCGTGGTGTCCTGGTTGCCGGTGTGCCTGTGTTCCGCTTCATTTTCTCGGCGTTGTCCCATTGGTGTCCCGGCGTCGCCCGCCCACGTTCCAGTCCCAGTTCTTTCTCGGTTGCCGCTGGCTTGCTGGTAGTACAGCGCTTGTGTTCCAGTGAAGTCTTGTGTCCAAGACTGCCCTGACAATGAGGGGGTGGTGCTTCGATTTGCGAGTTGCGGTTGCTCATTCGCTCCGTGGCAGGGGAGCGCAGCGGCATACATGTTGCCTTTGATGGCTGCTCGGTGATTTAGCGGAGGCTGCTCAAAGAAAGCTACTTTTGTGCATCACTTGCCACATCCTCAGCATCGCCTGCAACTGGCTTACCATGCAACATCCCCAGCATTGTCGCCAATTTGCTTTCCCAGCGACGTGACGATTCAGCAGAGGTGTGAACCAGTAACAGCCTTTACCGACACTGCGTGACCTGCAATTTCCGCCGACATTGCTCGGCGTTGGACACCTAAGAGAGGATAGAGGATAACCCCCCGTAGTCTTCGGGGAGCCGGTGTCGCAAACAGGGGTCTCAGGCTCGACTCCCCCTGCCGGCTCTTTGCTGGTTTGGCTTTCCTGCCTTTTTTGACGTCCTCTTTGCGAAAACGCTGGAAAAACCGTGTTTTTTGCGGGAAATACTGGGGAGCAAAGGGGGGGGGAAATGAAAGGGAAACAAAGGGGAACTGAAAGGGACATGAAAGGGACAGAAATGATAACAAGGGGAGTGCAGGGGGCATGAACGGGAAACAAAGCACAAGGAAACCAATCGGCACGACGGGAGATGTAGAGAAATGACTCAACAAAAGAACGGGACATACATGGAAAATGAAGCGGACATACCGAGAAAAGACAGGGACATGAAGGGGGAGTTGAAAGGAATGGAAGGGACATGACCAGGACATCATGAGAAACGTGAAAAGGACATGAAGGGGAAATCAAGGAAAAAGCCAGTAGTGAGATGACAGTTCAGGGTCGCATCAGGGGGGACGTGACGCTGCAATGCAGAGAGAGAGAGAGAGGGAGAGAGCGGGAGAGAGTGGGAGACAAAGAGAGAGAGGGAGAGAGAGAGAGGGAGAGAAAGAGAGCAGAGAGAGAGAGACAGAGACAGAGCCAGAGTCAGAAAGAGACAGAGAAAGAGACAAACAGGGAGAGAGAGAGAGAGAGAGAGAGACTAGGTCCTCCAGCAGAGAGGTTAGAATTAGGGTACCCTTTTTTTGTAGAGGGGCGTGGACAGGAAGGAGACAGGGAGCCAGAAAGAAACAGAGAAACAGGGAGAGAGGAAGAAGGAGAACAGAGAGAGGACAATGTCGGCGGACTGAGCCGGAGGCTCTAAAGTTTCATGAACCAACAGTGGTTCGGAAACAAAGAGGGCCAACTAAATATCTAGCCAGCATCACTTGCAAGCGCCTAGGCGAGCATGCGCGCTAGCATTAATGATTCCTGGTAAGTGCAAGGCCCCATTCAAATCAAAGAGCCGAATGATCTAGGGTGGTGACATACCTCCAGCAGCTCAGCATGCATTAGCCGTGGGCTAATATAACTCAGTATAACATCTGTACCCTCAATTTCGATCCGCAATTGAAGACTTGGATTGTCGCCTTCGGAGGTGCACTCATCGTCAGCATGCAAGGGTTCCAATGGTGCAGCGGCTGCCAGGCCCACAAGGACCACCACCTGCGCGAGCAGTTGGCCCGATCGGGCTGGCATCATGCACAACTATCAACACACGTTGCCCGGCCAAATGGTTGGTTCCCTTCCGGCTTGCATTGATCCAAGGGAGTTTCCAATCTTTACCCACCTCAGCCAGTGCCACCCAAGCCGCTCTGTGAGCAAAACTCATCCTTCGCGGCGTTTGCTTCCCGCCTGCGGCAGCCCTTCTCGCGGTGGCTTGAAGTTTAAGCACTTGTTCAGGTCAAAATGCAGAATCAACTCTGATCCCAGCCTGAGGGCCTCAAACAGCTTTTCACACAAAGAGTCGCTGAGCCGAAAGCGACGGCAACGATCAACTTGGACTGTCAAACTTCTGGCATGCTTGACACTACAGCTTGCACAAAACCGATTCCTGCACGAGCCCATCGCGGAACTCGTAGGCCATGAGGCAAACTCCCTCCTGGCTACATCTCAAGCCACCATGAAAAGCAGCAACACCACAAGGGTGTGAGCCCTCCTGTCCTCCCCAGCCAAACACCGCATCGCCCCAACCAGCGCTGCAGACGTCTCGTCGTCGTGCTGGTAGATGACCTCGCCTCCAGTGCACGCAAAAACAAGCGCCATCCAGTCAAAGGGGTGGCTGGGGGGGCTGACAGCCGATGACCACATCGCATCCTTCAGGCCTCCGACCAAAAACTGAAAAATTGGAATGGGCCATCCTGCTGAGGATGTTTGTTTCTCCTGCCAGTAATTAGTGCTCAAGCCCCAAAGCATTCAAAGGCCGGACATGCGCTTTGCAGTTCCAGCCTTTTTGTCTGCCGTATTTCGCCTCCCTGCCCGTTTGCTGTTGCCCGCACAGGGTGTCAGTGAGGCAGCGGCGCAACCTGCCTTGCAGCCTCAGGCATTTGTGAACGGCGCATTGCCTTTGCGCGCCTTTGGAAGCTTCCTGCCTCCATTCCCCATCTCAACTCTGCCACTTTCACCGGCACGCCTTTCAAAGACGGATGCAAGCTAAGCAACCTCCTATTCACTCGCCACGACTTGTCAACACTTGTGAAGAAGGTCAACATATGCCTGACCGCCGAGGAGCCCACGCAAAGCTGCAGCATTTCGGTCCACGTTTTTCTGCAGCAGTTGCAAGCCTTGGGGTAGGTCTGTGAGTACCTGCAAGACTTGCTATGCTCTCGTATTTGCATGCCTGCGGGGCGCACCACTTCAGCGCCCAGAGCCGCACAAACCAATCCCACAAGCCCAGTTCCTGCACCTTGGGAGGGCTACGCCGTGACGTCGGGCCGAGCCTTTGCATGCTGAGACAGGTGCCCAGCTCCACCACCCGCTTGCCACGGACCAAATGTGGATGAGCCTCAAGCCAAGCTGAGCTCATAGCGTGGCATGGAGCAGGGATAAGCGAGCCATCAACCCATCTATCCACGCAGCCAGCCACCCATTCCATCCATCCATCCAGCACTCGGGCGTTCTGGGGTGGATTTAGGATGAATCTAGAGTGGGCTTTGTTGAGGTGGTGAATTTAGGGGTGAATTTTGGGCTCGTTTGATTAAGTTTGATTTGGGGTGGGGTTTAGTGCACCTGCGTCGTCTGCGACCCGGAGAAATCTGGGGGCAGTGAGCATGCGCTTGTTTGGACATGATCAGCCATTGAAGCATTCGCGAATGGCTTCCCTGCTGGGGTGTGCTTTATGCAAGCACTATACTAATTTCTACATATATCATATATCTATATAAGTTATATAAGTCACATTCGGCTTTGTTTAGGGTTGGTGTTTCGCAGGGTGGGCTTAGTAAGCGTTTAGGGTGGTCTCAAGGTGACGATGAAATTCGTGTGGATTGAGGCGATTTCAGGGTCTGGTCAATGTTAAGTGGGTGGGTGGCTGCTCGCCCGATTGTTTGCTTGCAGAGGGGGTAGTGGAACAAAAATCGAATACCCAGCCGCAACAAAATCTTTACATAACACACACCCCTCTGGGCAAGGCTTGGCCGTGAGTCTATGTACTTCGTGAAGGGCGGGCCGTTGAGGCTTCCGCGCAGAGATGCGCACACATGGAGTAGGCGGACGGCCTCAGGCACAAATGCCTTCAAAGAAGATCGACCAGAAGGAAGCGTTCAGGCGCAAACCACACCACGCTGCCAGTGGAATCCTCGCCCTGGGTCACAGCTCACCTCTTCAAATTGTCCGATTAGAGGGCTGAACTATGTTGACTTGCAATGTCCGTTGCATGTAGGGAGCGCATGCATTCTTTGGGAGCCCCTGCTTGAAACTCCACATGTCTCCACAGAACGGCCGTCATGAATGGCAACCGCACATGCCTTTCCTCCATTCCAGACAGGGGCCCGCACGCTTCGAGCGTTGGCCACCTGCACTGCAGAATTGAACGAAGCTTGACTGGCTTCCAAGACGTGCCATGGGTCGAATGGAACATGTCACGTCTTGAGCACCTCCTGCTCTACGGTGATGCAGGACTCCTGAGCTAGGCTCACAAAGCGTGCCTTTTCCTGGTGCCGTTAGGAATCCCGCCAGGCTCGGATGCTCAAAGCTCACTGTCAGCTCGCCTAAGAAATCACTTGCGGTGACACAGTCAGACCCTCCAATCAAAAAATACCCCGGCACGAGACCCCAAACAGTGATAGGCGGCGGTCACACGCTGCAGAGTATTGTGCGGGCTGCGCCGCAAAACGGCGGTTGTTGTCAGGAAGCTGACATCATTTTGCGGTATTTGCGCGCACATTCACAAAGACAAGGACACGGCCTGGAACAGACACGCGCAAGAGAATGCAGCAGACACGTGTCGAAGCCAGCGCCATGGTCGTGTGTGCGTGTGTTTGTGCGTGTGTGTGTGTGTGTGCGTGTGTGTGTGTAAGCATCACTACAAAAGGCAAGATCTGTGCGTTTGTTTCACCAGGGTGCCTGAGCTTGTGAGTTAGCTAGCTAGGTAGCTTCTTCCTTTGTTCTCGATTGTGGCGCTGTTGCTGTTGCTGTAGCTGTTGCTGTTTTTGGGTGTTGTTGTTCAGAGTACCATCGAGACGCCGTCGCAGCACAGAAGCACCATCCAAGCATGCCCAAAGAAAGGGAAGCTCGCGCGGACAGGGCGGGGACCTTTCGCCGGAAACCCGTGCCGCCGGACCACGAGACAAAACCCCCACGGTCCCCGGAGCCGCCAAAAAAGCAAAAAAATCGAGTTTGTGCGAGCCTGCGCAGTCGAAACGCACTTCGACATCAAGCAAGAGCACGAATCTGCGGCACATACCACGCAAAACGCTCGCGGACAGAAGTCGCCAACTCACTTTGTGCGAGCCTGCGCAGTCGAAACGCACTTCGACATCAAGCAAGAGCACGAATCTGCGGTACATACCACACAAAACGCTCGCGGACAGAAGTCGCCAACTCACTTTGTGCGAGCCTGCGCAGTCGAAACGCACTTCGGCATCAAGCAAGAGCACGAATCTGCGGTACATACCACGCAAAACGCTCGCGGACAGAAGTCGCCAACTCACTTTGTGCGAGCCTGCGCAGTCGAAACGCACTTCGACATCAAGCAAGAGCACGAATCTGCGGCAAATACCACGCAAAACGCTCGCGGCCAGAGCGGGCACCTCAATCTGGCACCAAGGCCTTTTCTCTTACCGTAAGAACCCCTTAGTGTAGACACACTGTTTGGGGGAAAATGCAGGTCGACAAACAAAAATGTACCGCAGCGTTGTGGAAGTAGCATCTTAGCATCTGACTCCGCAAGGGACCGCGGTAGAGCAGCCGGTCCTCACGTTGCAACATGAACTTCCCAACTTGGAGCCCGATAGTCTCCGACCAGCTCTCGTCTTGAGAGCCTCGTAGGCTCAAATTCTCCAGGGCAGAACAGTAATGCCCTGAGCCCTCAGCTCGTCCGTATCTGCTGAGTAGCTGTCCAAACTCCTGCTGCAAGGACCGCACTCAATCACGCCCATTGCAATGCCGACCCCGGATTAACAAACCGTTCTCATTCAGAGGGGGGTGTTCCCCTCCAACAGTACTGAAAAACTGGGGTTGATAAATCTGGGGTCAACATTATTGGGCCCAATGTGTTATGAACATAGGACTACCATCAGCATGTCCTTCCGAGCAAGGCCACAAGACGCTTTTCTTTGCCCACCTTGCGCCAAGCCATGACAATTTCCAAGCAGCCCATCCAAACACACCTGCACAACCCGCAGCAGCAGCCGCAGAGACAAATCTTGCCCAAGTCGCTGAAGTAGCAACACCTCACTGGCTCAGGCTGGCCCAAGCTTGTAAAGAAAATCCCCGAGGCTAGCACTTGAGATGCGGCTGCGAACGAAATTGACACCAGCACCCTGTGGCCAAAGATGGGCGATTCCGCTCAGGCTTTGCGGGTTTCACATCAACATGCTCAACTGTGGCGCACCCAGATGGCTGCAACAGCGACACTGCTGCACTCAGCATCTGAACCTGTTCTGATAAGGAAGCTAGCACAATGTCAGCGATTGACTGATTAAGTAATTCTGACTGAGCATGTGTTGAGCTGATCCCGGACCCACACCCAGCCTTCTCAGCTTTGTCGTGCACGGCATCAGTGGTCCCCTGACCGGACACAGCTCTTGCCAGGGGCAAGCGGGACAAACAAACACACGCACGCGCACGCATATAGAAACAAGCCAACATTCAAAGCAGCAAGACCGGCAACCTGCAAGGGCAAAGGCAGCAAGCAAATCAGGCTGAGCAGTCGCAAGAGCTGCCCGGGCCTTGTCCACCACGACAGCAGCGCCGCTCAGGGCAGCCAAACCCTGAAACAGAACGCCCAGTGCACACATTTGACATGGGAACCCCATCCTCCGCATCCCTGCAGTCACTGCGAACGCAGGAGACCTACAGTGGGGGGACAAGATCAAGGTACTAATAGCTCTGAGGCGCCTTGCCTTTGGCCCACGGATGTCTGAGGGCTATGCCCTTGGGTTGCGCGCATGCTGCTCCTGACTTCAGCCGAGACGTGGCTGCATGCTGTGGAGGACAAGCTCCTCCAACTGTGCAATGAGAGAGTCGGACACATCCTGAGCAATGGCTGCTACAGTGTACCACTGAAAAAACCGCATTGCTTCTTACTGAGGCGACGGCGACCAAGGTCACGCAAGCCTCAAATGCCGACCCAGCACGAATCATTGAACGTCTTCGCTTGCCCGGGCGCGTCATGCCATGCCTCACATTCCCGTATCAAAATGTTCAAAGCCGAGCCGTGACGGCCCTGCATCATTCACAAGTGCCAGTGGCCTCTTGAAAGTCATCCAGAAGCTCCAGACCTCATTGATGGCATCGGCATCCGGCATGCTTGCGCAACGCAAGTCATGGTCACGAAGGAAAGCGGTCACAAAAGCGCCAGAAAATGAGGGCTGACCACATGTTTGCATGTTTTCTCCACAAATGCTCCATGCTTCTCATAAATTTGCGCTGGACATGTCCAACCTGCTTCAAACGGCACAGTTTGTCTGGAGCGTGCGTATATATATACATATATATATGTGTGTGTGTGGGTCCCCCCCCACCCCCCATGGTAAGGGGAAGGGGTCCGTTCAAAAACGTTTGCCCTATCGGCAAATAAGCCGTCATTTTGCAGGCTCTATTCGGAGAGTTGTTTTTTCGCGGCCCTGTCGTAGTTTTGGGCTGCGAGCCTTCAAGAACTCGTGCTTTTGCGATTCTCAAGCTGCCTAATCGACCCTCTACGGACTTTCGCGTGGTCCTCTCGCTGTAGCGCGGTGCTACATTTTCTTGAAGATGGAAACCCTAAACCGTTGCCAAGCCAATGGGATTTGCTCTCAAATACTTCTCACCCCGCGCTCCCGCGCAACTCTGCCTTCTCAGCTCTGCTTCTTCCTATTAAAACTCCTATTAAACAACTCTACTGCCGGACCTTTGTTCCCCCAGATCCAAGCTCGGGTGACCCTTAACACTTGTTTCTACATCACTTTATAACCCCTAAAGGAAAGAACGTCTAGATTGTTCCGAAAATGCACCCGATGCTTGCAATAGAAGTCACCCACCACGATTCCACAGGGGAGGGGGACGGGGGGGGGGGCCCGGGGGCATAGTTTTTACTACAAAATCTGAACTCTTCCCCTTTTCTGGGGGGACCCGGGACCATAGACAATGGACCATATATGGATATGAATGTATTTGGGCGATGGATAGCTATCGCTTTGCTTACACTGGTTTAGAGACCCTTGGCTCACCAACATCCCTGACCGGACGCTGGCTGGAAGGATGGGGCGAGCATGTCATTTTTATCTTGCGGCATAATGGACTGGGCAGGTTTAATTCCTGAATGATGCCTGACCAGGCATGGTGAAACGCGGTGAAGCACCCAAGATGTTCGGCCCACATGCAGGCTGCATGCGAGAGCGTGGCACAAACTGGACAGCTGGTGCTTGGCCTGAGGAAACGAGGGCAATTGGGTACCTTGTGCCACCTCCGCTGGACTCACGGCCAGCGGCCAGGGTGCGTTTTCCGTCCCAGCCCACAGGTCGTCGCTGCGCAGAACACTGCTGCCCCAAGCAGGGTTGCCATCGATTGGCCCGGCCTTGGAGGCAATGCCAGCAGTGTTTCCGAGTACAGCATTGTGAGACGCAAGGTTCACCAAGTGAGCTCCTACAATGTCTACAGGGTGAATTAAACGCCATCAGCAACATCTGCATACCTGCCAGCAAGAGACACGCAAACTGCGAGGCATCTCATGGCATCGACCTGGCTTTTTACTGCACGTCTTCTTGCTGGCGTTGCCCCGCAAAAGAATAGACCAATGAGCTGACAAATGCTTCTTCGTGTTCCATGGTGTCTTTTGTTCAACAGCCCCTCAGCTGTGCGCAAACGAATCATTCAGCTCCCCTCCAATTGGTTGTTTGCATTGGTTAGGGGGGAAAAAAAAAACTCTACAAGAACCAGGGGTTCAAATCCCCAAATCACAAATGCAGCCAACCAAGGGTCCAGTTTTCGAAATGTGTCACACACACACAAGCACACGCACCATGGACTTCGTGGACTGTCTCCCGCCTTCGGCCCGGAACCGAGGGCCGCGGCCCAAGCGTGGAGCTTCTTCCTATCTGCCGGGCGGCTCCAACCTGCAACGTTGCAGTGGGGTGCAGCTTCCCAACGAAGCGTCGAATCCGGTCCAAGGGCAACCCAGGCACACAAATTGCATAGGCCGCCATGGAAGGAATAGGCGGGCAAGGCACACCATGAAAAGGCACGCGAGGGAATGATAAAAGCACTGAACGGCAGGCATGGAAACGCTTGCACACCCACCAGCATGAAAAGGCGCGCGACGCAATGAGAAGGCATGGGGCACCATGGACGCACGGAGCTAAGGCTAGGGATTCCAAGGTTTGAGAGACTGTTTGCACCCCTGCCTGAGAAGCTTCGGCCAGCGAGCTGGGAGCATATGCCGATCCTTCGCCTGCATGCCCAGCCGCAAAGCTAGATTCGAGCCTGCAGTTTTTGGCGCCTCGGCCCCTTGCAGAAGCTGCAAAAGGAAAGCCGTCACCGTCCATGCCTCAGGCAAAGACATAAAGAACAAGGCGGGGGGAAAACACACAAAAAAAACGAAAGGATACAAACCAACAGCCTGACGTCAGAAACACCTCGTGTCAATTTGAGCGGCTCCGTCTCTCTGTCCACGCTTGGCCTGGCAAGGCTTCAACCCTGGCGTTCTGGGCATGCCCTCACAACTCCCCGTTGCCTCGCATGCGGCCCTGCACCAAATGAGATGGCTCTTGCGCCTGGCTCTCCAGGCGCGAAATGGAAACAGTGTGAACTGCATTTCTGCCGGCCTGAATTTGCCCAGGTGTACCCTGGGTGTCCTTGGGGCTGGCCTAGCAATGCCCGGCGATTTTCAACAAGCCTGAAATTCGACGTATCATTTCACGTGCTGCATTAGGCACTAGCACCCATTGCAAGCTGCACCATGGCAGCGGCCATGAAAGTGCCCACGCATGCCCACGCGCCCCTTCCCCACCGCCTCCGGAGTCCCTGAAGGCAGCCCTCTGGATGCACGCAGCTTGGCTTGCAAAGCTTCCTTGGGGCCACGGGATCACGCGCTTGAGGCTAGCCAGAGCTAGCTGATCCAAGCATCTAAAGACTTCGTAGCACGATACCGCGCGTCTTCCAGCTTGACGTCGTTGAGCTCAAGCTCTTTAGTACTTGGCCTTGGCACAATGGATATGCTGCCCATCTTTCCCACCTGTCATACATGTAAAAACGTAAGATATGCCAGGAGTGCCGAGAACAAAGCTGCTGAGACCAAGGGCGATTTGCTGACAGCAT